TCTTTTTTCTGGACATTTCCCAGGCTGTTCATCCTGGGATATTTCTAGTCTGGGAGAGCAGGTTTCAGTAGCCCTGAAGTATGAGCTACCTGTGCTCTTGGTAAAGATTATCAGCCTAAAGGTCAACCCTCAAAAATATAGCTAAAGAGAAATTTTCTATCAGTGTTAGTCTCCTCTTTTTAGCTAAAAGAATCACTTTGCCACGTGACTGTAGGTGTTTCACATAGCTTTTAGTGGAAAAATGGTTCTTTCCTCCATGGCTTCTGAGACATCAGCAACTTGTCTAGTTTGCTGATAGGGATTTGTGTCCTCTAGGATCCTCTGATAAAAAAAAAATATATATATATAAGAAAGAAAAGCTCTTGCTTTTCAGATCCCAGAAGCACTGAAATGGCAGGGGATTTCAGAAATCATTTCAAATATTTCAAATTGAAATATCACTCAGACTTTTTCAGACCAAAGTTAAAGTAATAACAAAACAACAATAATAATATAGCTGAACTTCTCCCATTTTGAAACTGCACATCTGCGCACAATAGAACTGTGCCTTAGAGTGACATTAATACATGAAAGGTCCTGTGCAGCATCCTGATTTCAAGAAAAGAAACTGAATTGAGAGGGACTATTCAAAGAACAAGTATTTGTCCACAGAAGCAGATGTTACACCTTTAGTATCCCATGAAATTGGATGCACGTTATATGATGCAGATGAATGTATGAATTTTTACTACAGATGAGGTGTGTTATGTGTTCAAGTAACTCTATGCCAGTTTTTTAACTGATGAAAAAAGATCAGACGCTGATGAATATTTAGGTAGCAAAGGTTGCAGATAAATTTGTCACATGGTTTTCAAAAAGGAGCTGGCATAAAATTAATTTCTTTAAATTTCATCACATTAATTTCCTGCACCTTTAGAGGCTAAAAATTTCATTTGAAATCTGTCTTTTAAACATCAATCCACTGTGTGAAACCAAAGTTCTGAAACAGATGTAAAAGACTTTCTCCACAGAACAGTAATAAGAAACTGTAAATATAATTAGATTTATCAAAAAATAATTTAATCCACACCGTACTTGCCTTCAGTTCTTTTTACACAACAGATTACATAGCAGTCACTCTTTAAAGTGCTACCAGAAATTTAATGTAAATGTATATTTTTATATCAAATCTCTATCTTACACTGAAAACATAGCAGCTCTACTTGAATATAATGCAATTATATTATTTGGTAGAGGGTATCCCTTGCTTGAAGCCTAATTGCTGCAATTCTCAGGCAGAACATCCTACCTCAAAGCTTTTCTATCGAACAGCTTAGGAGCTAACTCCCACAAAAGTTCAGTTAGTGAAACTGCCTTCAGTCAGCCTTCTTCTCTTACAAAAAAAAATATGGACTATTTAAAAGTTTATTGACTTTAAAGAAGTATTTAGAAGCCTAATGACCTTATAGATTGAATCTGTGATCAGTGGACATTCTCACAGTAGAACCCCTTGGCTGTTACTCATTTTCTGTAAAAAATAAAAATTATTTTGTTTCTCTCTGCTGATCTAAATTATCATACTGGATGGATGCAAGGCCAGAGGATCCATCCCTGGTAACAGTATTTTGCTCCTGGATAAGCAACTAAGCTCCAGAAGCATTGTTGTAGGATGTTACAGAATCATAGAATGGCCTGGGTTGCAAGGGACCTTAAAGATAATCTAGTTGAAACTCATCTGCCATGGCAGGGAGATTGCTTATTAGACCAGATTTCTCAGAGGCCCATCCAACCTGGCCCTGAACACCTCCAGGGATGTGGCATCCACAACTTCTCTGGGCAAACTGCTCTAGTGCCTCACCACCCTCACTGCAAAGATTTCTTTTTTTTTTATATTTAATCTAAAGTTACTCTTTTTCGGTTTGAAGCCATTCCCCATTGCCCTGTCCCTACATGTTCTTGTAAATAGTTTCTCTCCAACTTTCTTCTAGGCTTCCTTTAGGTATTTGACTTGATGTCATCATTAATCTATATTGGGATTGGGTGTTTTTTAGATACGATAATGTTACTGGGGTGATTAAACAATATTACAGCAGAATTTTAAGGGAAAGCAAAATTTTTACTCTTCAAAGCAATCTGAGTGAGGCATGGCTGTGGGGCTGTGGTATTTTTTCCAAAGTCTATCTCTTTAACTGTGAGTACCTCTAGAAAGGCAAGCTGTTCAGAGACTTAGCCTGGATTTTGGAGGAGCTTTTCTTTACATTTTCTGTGTCACCTCCAGCAACTCAGTCTCTCAAAGTTTCAGATACCCAGCTGTTAACTGGAAATCAAAATTAATTTACTTTTGCATAAGGGTGTTGTGATGGTTATCCATTACAAACTGTGCAGTGTTCAAAAACTATGGTCCCAGCATATCTATGATACAATGACTACAAAGCAATGTGTATAAATTGTGTCACAAAATGAAGTTTGTACAGCTGTGCAAGAAAGGACTCACCATGGCAGAACACTACACACCAAGTTCAAAGAGTACAAAAGCAATAAAGGAATAAATAAGCAATTTTCGAACATGACTTAATTCACTAGAAGGTAACTGTTTTTTCCACTTATGACTCTCAAAATGTTCCTAAATGTACATTAAAAAAAGGACAAAAAAAGCTAAATGATTGCACAACACACACAGACCAAGAATAGGTCTTTTTCTAGTTTTGTATTCCATAAGGCACTTCACAAGCCCATGTTTCAGATACAGGGTTTATGTTTAGAAGGAAACCACCATAAATAGTATCGGGGAAGACAGTAAAAGCTTCTTCAGGAACATCTCACCAGCATCCAGCATGCAGGAGGATGGTGCCAATAAAGTTATCTTGGGAAAGGCTCACTTTTTTGGTCATGTGTGTTTGGTGGTTGAAGGAGTCCTTGATTCCCTGCCTCTGTTCCCCTCTCCACACAGAAAAGCTGTGTGCATGCTAGGAAGGGTGATGTGATTAGCTGGGTTGGGATTTCTTGTGTTTGTTTGCCCCATGTAATAATTGGTTCAGCCTAAACACAAAATTTTGCTTCCTCTGAGTATTTACTGGGTGAAAAAGACACTATATCTCCATGCCTATATTACTCTGTAGCCTGTCAATTTTAAAGACTTGTATAATAAAGGATGGTTGAGTTTAAGTCCCTGATCCAATAAATGTTTATGTACAACAGTGTGTAGCAATGCCAACATGAGAGATTTTCATCAACTCACATTCCTGGCTAAAAAAAATATCTTGGAATCTGATTAATGTGGGATTAAATCCCCTTAAGTAGAAGACACAAATCCTACAAATCCTAACTGAATACCTTGAGCAGCAGAATGGTGAGTAGTACATCTTCCATGATGATTTTATGAAGGCTATAAATTTATTCCATCTGAAACTACTCATTATTGACTTCAGACTGTTTTTCTTCCTGGGGAGGTGGGGGAAAGCCAGGGCAAATATCAATCTACTCCAAAGTTAAAGTGCCATTTGTATATTCCTTTGAGAGGACAGACTGCAGCTATTACAGGCCCCTTTTGAACCCACATAAATGTGTGTGCACATATAAATTTTTTCTTGTGCATGTTTTAACCTGTATTTTGGCATCACAATTTTCCCACAAGAATTGAAGATTATTTTTCAATTACAGCCTTATCAGGACATTGCAGGAACTGGGGAATAAAAAATTCAGGTCCTCCTTCCTACAGCTTGTAAGTTTTGATATCTGCAAAAGTGATTTAATTTTCAGAAGCATTGATCCTCTAATTGCCTCTAGCACCTTAAAATTTTTTCTACAACAAATTAAAAGCTGTGTGCAAAAATACTGGTTCCTTGGCCTCACAATAAACTTCCAGGCTATCAGAAAATACTAGTAAGTATATTGCAGATGGTTTAGGAAATACAAAGATTTTTCAATGGAAGATTTTATCTGAGGAATATAAAAGAAATACATGACATTTCAAAATAATTACTAACCCTAACAGTTTGGGAATTAGTGTGTGAAGTCATGAAAATTCTATAAATACAACCTACTGGCTGGAAGATACTATACTAAAGAGAGTTAAAATCCCAAGATTAGTTTAAACAATATCAATTGAATCAGAATCATTAACAAAATAGGAGGGCAAAGGAAAACCAAAGATCTTCCATCTGCTTAATTAAATACATTTACAGTTGTCTGCCATGCTGCAAAATAGTGACCAATACACTTTTAACCTAAGAAGGCAGTGTTCTACCTGAACACAATATTTCATAACAACAATCACTGCAAATTTTTATACTCCTTATATGAAACAAGAGTCAAACCCAACCTTTTAGACAAATGACTGTGGTATTGCTGATAAATAACAGGTTGCATCCATTTATTCATGTCTCTATTCTTCCCTTTCGGTGGTGACACCGAAGATGGGAGCATTCAGGAATCCTTTTATGCCTATCAGGCTTCAACTGACCCTTTTAATGTCAATTCTTAGATTTAGATTTGCCAAAATCTGTCTTCCCAGACTTTAGAAAGTGGTGAGGATTACCTATAAATTATTTCCCCCTCTGCTGCCTTCAAATATCTCTTGCTTTGTTTTAAATCAAATAAAGGAAATATATGAGCGCTCCTGTTCTTCAAAATATCTATTAAGTTTTAAATGCACTCATTTAAAATATGAAGCTTTTTACTATCAGCTCCTAATTTCCCTGAACCAGTGTATGGAGGAACAGAATACCAACCTTATTTTGAATCCTTTTTTCTCACTTGCCATTTCACTTACTCTGTGCCTCAAAGCATTTGGCACTTGCCACCACCATATTATAATTCCTGGTTTTTAGCCATTCTATTGAAATAGCATTACCAAAATTACTAAAATATCTATCAAGTTAAAAAAAACAGCATTGGTTATCCAAGTGATTTTTAACAAAAACTTAACAAAAAATTAACACAGTTAATATTTTCTGGTTTATTGACTCTATTCTCCATACTTCAGGTGCAAAACATCGTATATATAAGTAAAAATAACATACCAAAATCCACAAGCTTAACTCCTCCTTCGGTGGTCAAAAGGATATTATTTCCCTTAATATCACGGTGGATAGTTTTGTTTTCATGCAAGTGCTGAAGTCCCTGGAAGGCGAGATGTAAACATGAATTTTTAACAACAGCTCTGTCCTCCATACCACATTTGCAGAAACAACAAGGTAGTGGAAAATACTTGAATTTTTTTTTAAATCCAAAACCACAAGGATGTCATTCTTACTGCAAAACCACTTGCCACATGACAAGGAAAAATATTCTTTCATTGCCCCACTTTATGACATATTGAAATTTTAAGATGAAAGCAGAAAAATATCGCTATAAATCTACCTATAATACCTTTAGAGCACAAACTCAAAGAAAACTACTAAGACCTAAATTCCACCGGAGCAAGTAAAATTTCAGTTATGAGAAAATTATAAATCAAGACAGTTGACCCTAATGAGCAGAACCAAATTCTTGTAGCAGGGTTTGAATTTGCTAGATATGTGGATTATTTTACTATAAAAATATTTTGGATCCAGACATAGGAGGCTGAACAGTATTTTGATGGTATTTCTGCTATTTTCTTAAAAGAAAAGCAATTTTGATGCTGAACTGTGTTTACTAAGAAAATTGACCAATGGTCAGAAATCAATTTTCATTCTTTTAACGGTGAAATGAACAGATTAACTGCTGTTTACCTTGCTTGCTTAAAAAGAACCATCCTAATTAAACATTGCCTTGATTTCATTAAACACTGCTATAATACAAGATAGCAAGCTGTGTTAGTAGGGACATGATCTTCATTCACGTCAAGAGAAGTATGAGCTGAATATTGACTGCCTTTTCATTGAAAGCCTATCTTACCATCAGAGCTTCACGTAAAATGTAAGCAATTATAAGTTCATTCATCCTTTCACCTCTCTTCAGAAATCCTTTCACAAGATCAGTCACAGATCCACCATTGCACAGCTACAAAACATAAGGGGAAATAAAAAGGAATTAAGGAGTGTTGGAGTAGCCACTTGGTTTTCATTTTCAGTATTTTTATCTGTAGCCGAACAAGATTCTACTAAACTGACAAGCCACAAATTTGTCCTTAAGTCTACTATTTATGCAAACAACATACCCAGCAATTTTTGTCAATTATTTTTCACTACTTTCTGCATTTAATTCTTCTTGTCCAAACACAAGTATAGTAGTGTATCTCTCTGTTTTCCTATATCCATGATTGCTTTTCACTGAAACAGAAGTAGATTACAGTGTGATAAATTAGCTGTGAATGCATGTTTTCTGAGGCATACTAATTGCTTCTTATATTCATGTGGAACTCACCACCAATGCAGATTATTACAACATCAATTCTCAGGTACAAAAGCGATGTACAGAAAAAATGGATTTAAGGCATCAGAAGACAGGCAGCAGAGAAATTTCCCCAATATGAAACCTACCCAATGTGAAAGCTGACCTTTTTGCCAAGCAGCAGAGGGAGATGTGATACACAAGGCATGGACATTGTGGAATATGATTAAAGCACCATGGAAAGAAAAGTCTCCCACTGGAACAAGGTGTGCTGTGGGTGTAGGATTAATTATACTCTTTGTTGCAACAACCCTGTCAGTCCCTTGTTCCAGCTGTAGAGCCACAGTCTGCTCTGGACAATCCTCTTTGACTCTCTAGAGAGAGCCCAGCCACACTCCTGCAAGCCCCAGACTCCTGCAAACCCCTTCATGTGGGAAGAAGAGACCTAGCCTTGCTCTCTAGAAAGGATAGTGAGCACACATTACCAGCATACTAATTTAGACTGCAGTATTTCATATGTTCATTTTTATAATTTACAGTTTTTCTGCCAGAAGAAGCAACAGTGTAACTTTATGAGTACCTACTACTGAAGGAGTTACACTCTGCAAAGATTAAATAGGCACTTAAGCCCTTAAACTACCCATAATTCACCTGACAATTCTCATTGATTGAAGAGCTATTTGTCGCTGTAAGGAGTAGCTTCTTCCAATAAGACAGTAAAATAAGCTTTAATTCTTACAAAGTATTATCATCCACTAGCTTTTCACATGAAACTAGATTTCCATGTAAGATATTTTAACAATGCAGCACTAAACAGTAATTCCTTTGCACTACATTTGAAGTATATTTAAATCAAGAGCATAATTTATCAGTAAAACCTTTCAACTGCAGAATTCTAGGCATCAGATTCTTTTGTATATGTATATTTTTCATCTGTTTTTCTATACCCCTACATTTTTTTTCTGTGCTGCAGTTAATAAAAGACTTGCACCTTACATTAAAAAGCATTTTTTATCTCTTTGTACACAAACACAACAATAATTCTCTGACTACCTTTGAAACCCCTAGGCTGCACTGAATTTTCACCACAGGAATGCCTACAGAAATGCCATTCAATACATAACTCTTGTTGCAAGATGTGTCCCCCATCAGGGCATCAATGGCTCTGGTCTGCCAGGGGCTGAGCCCTATGGCAACAGTCTTGGAAGTCACTTAACCTCACCCTTTCCTAAGTGGGACAATATGCATGCTTAGAGAGGGAAGGACTCATACACTTAAATGATGGGATTAAATGCTTTTCTGGATAAGGATCAGATTCCCAAGCAGGATTTCATTTATTGTCATTAGCCATGTTGGTCTGCCTTCTACACTGACTTTTCCAAGTTAGTTATTTTTTCATAATGACATTTTCTTTTCAGGGTTTCTATAATTTTAATTTTGCCACATCACCAATATATTTAATCAAATCAAAAGGATTATGATAATTCTGGTTAATTTAAAGCTCTTGAATTCAGAGCACTGAAACTGTCTGGCAAGTAACAAACTAATTGTAAAATACATTACATGTATGATATTCTTCAAACCATTTTTCTTCATTATCCCATATTATATTTTGCCTCTTACAGATGGATCTTTTTTCTTTACACAGCTGTATACCGGTTCAATGTAAAGAAAACCAATGCAGAAATGAATATATTCTTTTTGTAGGCAGAAGAAGGGAGAAACTAAACCTCAGAAATCACCCTCTTTAATGTTTAGGCAGTAAAGCCAATACTGAACTTATTTGCCTGGGTGAGCAATACTAATTTTCACTTTCTTTAACATGTTGCTCTAATTTTTCTACTACTCTCATAACATATAAATCCTTATTATGAGATAAATATCTGCATTGTAAGATAAAACTTACGTAAAATATCAGGTAATGTAAGATAATAAAACTGTGATTATTTTAGACCAAACGAAAACTGAACCTTGGTATGTAAAAGGTCAGCTAAACAGGTCTTGAAATAAAGATCCCAGAAGTCAGCCCTACCACCTGGAAACCCTCCACAAACTCCCAAGGCAGGGTGATGGTTTAGAAAGAGCACAGCTGAGGATGTTATAGACACAGGTTCTTGCACACACTCAGGACAACTTTCCTTCTGTTAATTTTGTGCCAAATAGCTATACTTTCACTTACATCAGACAATAAATATTTTTCTGAGACCACCAGCATAGCAGGAAGAGGGGTAAAGGCTGGGTATTAGAATGCAAGCAGCTATAAGGAGGAAAAGGGATTATTGGAATACCACCACAATTAGAAAAGGAGATTATAGCAGACACTGCAAGTGTGTGCTCTACACTGTGTGGGAGGGGGGGGGGAATGATGACGACAGCGATGACACAGGTTAATATTAACTTTGTTCTATTTTTATCATCATGGGTAAAATCTTGTATCTGCCCTAATTTCCTATCTCTACTGTGCATTTTTTGGAGGTGAAGCTACCACATATCCCTAAAACCTGGGCATAACTAAAGCTGAAATGGTGATTCTCCTGACTCAGGTTATCAAGCTGCATCAATCCAGAGATATCATACACACCTCAAAAAGTCCCTCTCCTATCAAGTCTGGCTCTTCTCTTCTATCTCAAAACAAGAAGCTACAGAAAGTTACAATACTCCTGCCTGATACAATGCTGGACTGAGCTTGCCTGGGAATTTGAGTAGAAAGGAAATAAATTATCCTTGGGGATGCTGATCAAGATCTTGTCCGTAGGAAGGTATAGGAGTAAAAAACCCTAAATCATTAAAAAAAAATAAAATCACATAACCATGATTTATACAATCCTTTAATAAGAGATTATGGGATAAACATTATTTAGCAGTACTGCTAGACAGAAAGTTTCCTGGGGTGTTGTTAAATATTGCAGCTTATAATTATGATATCTGCTGCTTCTTAGTAGCATGCTGTCACAGTAAAAACACTGTGCAGCCTCTTAGTAAAGCTGCTCAGTTTAAGTTAAGCCAACTGAAATGTTTGGATCACAAGAAATCATGAAGGCAACGGAGAGAAATTTTTAGAAAGATCTTTCCAGTTTTCAGTGAAGAATCTACAGAAGGGTGGTGCTGGTAGCTAATAATTTGTTGCAAACATTGTGAACTTACATGATCAGTCTGTGTAATTTGTTCTACAGCATTTGGTAAAATCTTCTCAGAACAACTAGATGACAGGCACTATATGCAGAGAACAACAAATGCACAGAGAACTTGGGACAGACATACAGCAGGAGCTACTGTGTCCATCTGAGCTCTGCCCCAAGGCTGCTCCCTGAAGGTCAAAGCAACTCACCAAATAAAATGACCTTTCACCTGTCATGAGACATGACCTCTTCTGGGAGGAGAGGACCATAACTCTATTTTTCTATCCCACAGTAGAAACCCCCACACATTCATACACATTCTCTAGCATACACAGAAACATTTCTTGTGGTTTGTATCACATGGAAGCCCCCATTTGGCTTTGAATATACTCAGCTTGAAGGGACAGACTCTTGGAATGTCCAGTATGTGAGACATAGGGAAAGAAGATATTCATGATCGTCCCACAGGGAAGTAACTTAGAAATGTCAGAACTTTGCACACGGGCAATTTTCATCCAATTAATATTGGTGATTTATTCTATTGTTCCCTTGTGATTTAGAGGTATTTTCCTTACCAGCAGTTTTTTCACTGCCTGCATTGATAGAATGCAAATATTATGTGCAAAAACAAGCAACTAAAAGGAGGGAAAATTGAAGCCTTGAGGCTACCTAAAACCGGGTGGAGAAGAAAAAGAGAGACTCTTCCTACTGTCACACAGCAAAGGATGAGAGGCAAAAACTCCCCACTGCAAGACAGGAGATTCCTAATGGACATAAATGAAAAATTTTCCCACTCAGTTAAGTTAAGTTAAGGGAGAGATTACACAGTGAGTCTGTGTTATGTCCATCCTTGGAGATACTCAAACTTGAACTGAAAGACAAATCTGTAACATTTTAGCTAATCATCTTTGAGCAACGGGTTGGACATATAACTTCCAAAGGTCACCTTCAGGCTGTACTTTTACATGATCCAGAATATATGAATTTTACAATATTCAATTCCTACTCTGGATTTTCAGACAGCAGAAAGAGTGGGGCAGAACAAAGAAAATCTTGCATAGCTAAACCACTGGAAAGAAAAATTAAATAGAAAGCTTTATTAATATAAAAATCTGCCTTAAAGAGCTGTAATTCTGATGACCATGCATGTACCAAAAGAGGTGCTTAGGAATCTTCTACAGTGGTAGAAAAGGGCTCCTCCCTTATGATTTTCTGGCACTCAAAAAGGCAAAGACTCATATTAGGATGACATGCAGTTCCCCACCCACCCATCTGCCACAGCCATGTGCTACTGTAATTGAGCTATTAGTATGCTAAGCTATTTTCAGAAAAAAAAAATTTAGAATAAAGTATGATCCTAAACCCATGACATGTCACTTAAAATTGCCATCACATTACAGTCATGCAGATGTTCTTTTTAGGTCTTAGTCACTCTTCACCTGACCCAGTTACACATTTCTTCTCTTCAGCTCTTCTTGATTCTGATGCCCATTGAAGATTCAGTATCAGCTACCCTTTTAAGAAAACCATCAGTTGCACATTTGCTAGGTC